TATGTGAAGGAGGTCTTGGCTTTACTTATGAATGCGCAAGAGTCGATCTCAGGGAAAAACTAATGTTTAGTTACTAGTTGAGATGATTATAAGAACCTGGGAACCAGCATAACTGAGACTGGAGATACACTGATATTTAGGACCATGGGCATCATACATGATGACAAATTACGCTAAAAGAAATGGTCGTGCTCCTTACATTCAGGCAGCAAAACATCTTTCACTAATGAGGAAAATTATTTTTCACCGTTCACTTTTTTCTCACGCTTACCTTCTCTTGCAGGAAAACTTGGCAAACCTGATGAACATGCTCACCACCACGCAACCTCACTTTATCCGATGCATTGTACCGAACGAACTCAAGAAAAGCGGCCATATAGAGGCAAGTCTCGTGCTCAACCAGCTGACCTGCAACGGAGTGTTAGAAGGAATTCGCATCTGTCGAAAAGGATATCCGAACAGACTTTTGTACACCGATTTCAACAGAAGGTATCAGAATCACGCAACTGCAGTCGAATTGGCGCAGAGAATCATTGTACATGGTTTTTTAACCAACATAGACCTAAAATTACGTCAGCCATTCATGTCACTTCAACTTTCAGAACAGAGAAAGACAGATAAGATAATTCGAGAGCAGTAAAACATAAAGATACGTGTGCTTACTGTATGCTTACTATGTGGAAATACATTACAATAAGTAGCCCAAATAGCTTCAACTTTCTTGCGGGATTGCTCTCCATATGGATTTCATTAGTTACAGTCCTGATGTTCCGAGCCATACCTCGATTGTTGCGGAACAATGATTAAACCGGATCAAAATGTGAGGACCATGGGCTCGATCACCCGCATTGAAAAATGAAGTTCAATTTTTGAATTGTAGAAATAAACGAAATGAGCACGTCTACTGAATGCCGTAATCACTTCAGACGGACTTCGAACTCGATGATGGAAGTTCATTCATCGTCATAGACAAGCATCTATAGATAGAATAAATGGCGTGTTTGAAACTCATTATGATGTTCATCCTCGAACCTTAAAATGCTTATGCATTATCATGTCCATTCAGCTGATCTCCATTGGTCAGCCTACCAAATAGTATGCAAATGATATACGAAAGTGTGTTCAAAGATGGCTAATAGAATCAAACACAAAGTCTAAATTTAGCACAGAACAAATCGTGTAGAGTCTCTTGTAGTTTTAGCTTTCATGCGTCAATAGAAACAGCATGAAAAAAACGTCGTAACTATAACTTAGAATGGTTGAGTTGCGAGAAATTCGTAAGTGCATTTTTTGAACGATAATACAGTGTCATTATAATTTATGTAATATTGATTCAGCTGTATTGAGGCCCCTGACTATATTTCTTCTGATTTTCATTGAATAATTACAGATAATCAAGGTTGCATCAGTTGCCTATTAATTTCTCAATTTATGCAGCGATGAGGAAATTTGTTCTTAGCTTAAGCGCAGAAGATAAAGTATCAGTTCGCTGGGCGGAAGGTGTGTAATCACTTTACAACTGGTATCACGTCGAAGAAAATTATGTGATTCAACTGCTCATAAATACCTTCTTGCAGTTGCTCGCTATTACTGTGATCTTCAACCTGCGCTGTTGACTGTAGGTATGCGCTTCTGGCAAATGAGGACACGAAGTCTTGCAAAGACGCAAACGAGATTACGAAAATCGTTCTAACGAACTTGGTTGTACAGGAAACGTTGTCTGAAGAAGAGTTTCAGCTTGGCTTAACAAAAGTAAGATTATTTAATTTAATTTCTTTATTGATTAAATAAATTTTAGACTAAAACGAACTGTTCCTTAGTTAGTAAACGGTAATGTGCCTTATCAGAAAATTATTTCAAGTACTGCAGTCAATTATTCAGTGAGCTATTCGCTGCACTCCACATTCATTCGAGAGTGCAGCGTGAACTATGAAGGATTTCATGGCAGACATATTAGATCCATGAAAAGCATGTGCTGGAGTAATTTTACCCATCTTTCACGTGACCAGCAGTGTTCTGCGGAGGGAAAGCGTAACTCCAATCATGGGTTGTTCCTGGATAATGTTTTGTCACTGATCTTCTCAAGGTTGTACTTAGCGCTGGCACCTATCCTCCGTGATTCTGTGATCTTCCAAAACAAATATGGAACCTTTACCGTAGGACAGTTCTTTGAAAGTATTCCCCGCCAGGTCCAGATGGCAGAGACATAAGGTTAACAAAAACGTTCGTGAGCTAGCATATCTCTACCACTTCATATCATTCCGAACTATGTTCCGCGATGCTGATGACGGGTCAACTGCGAAGAAGGTCTATATATATATAGTTTGTAAAACTTGAATTATCACTGTTGTCCTGTAATTTGTCGGTTACACTAATTAAAGAAAACTTAGTAGTAACGAAGGCAACAAACTATTCTTGACTGATTGCTATTTGTGCATCTTCATCTTCTTCATCTTCTACTGCCGCTTCTCCTTTCGGGTCGCTGAGGCAGACGCGTCAGACAGCGCTTCCAACGTTCCCGATCCTGTGCCAGAGTCTGAGCTTTGGCAAAGACAAATGCAGTCTGGAACAGATTCCTTCCATATGTTTGCACCAGGTTAATCTTGGCCGTCCCC